GCAGAGCTGAATCTCCAGATACTTTCTAATATGGTAGTCAATATCCAGATACACCATCCACAGGAAATAGGAAAGGTGGAGGAGACTTGGGGCCAAATGAGATTCAAGAAGGGCAGCAACAGATGGCAAGCCTTGAACAGAGCCCGCTTTGCGGGGAGTCGTGTCCCCCCCCCCCCGGCCCGGTTGTCTTATTTAATTTGCAAGGCTCTGCCAATCTTTGGAGGGGAGGTCCAGGGTAAATCAGGCTGCTTGGGGAAGAAGATGATCAGGAAATATCCCCTCAATCAGCTCTTTCTGTGAGCTCTGCCAGTGGCCTGGTTTATAGTTCTGCTCTTTGCTTGAGAGCAAAGGATTAGTACCCACTCACATGCAGACTGACTTCCATGTCCCAGGCTAGCCCAATCTCATCAGATCTTGGAAGCTAAACGGAAGTGGCAAAACACTGCTGCATGTCTCTTGTCTAGTAAACCCTGCAGGGTCACCATAAGTCAGCTGCAAATTGACGACACATTCCACTGCCACCAACATGCAGACCAAGGTTTAGTTTAGCACCTTTTAGAGCATTTTATGGAAGGTTGCTACTTTCTATGTTTTTCCTTTCCCCCCACATACTTGTAAATGTTGATAATGGATGTTGTTAACCGTTTTTGATCTTTAATCTTAATAAACTGAATTACATCAAAATTAGTCATTGTTTATTAAATCAGAATTGTACAAAATCCAGTGCGTCTAGCTCCATGACTTAAAAGTGGGCACTATCAGGAAATCCACGTGCAGCTATCAAAACAGGTGCCCCACTTTTCATAGATGGGGGGTGGACTAGTTGGGAATAGCAAATTAGTTGGGAATAGCAACTGCTCAGTGCTGTACAAAAAGCATACATGTTTTATTTTGTTCTTAAATATAAAGAAGCTACATTGGCCACCTATGACAAATCTCTGATAGGGGATTATACATATGAAAACTCATTTACACTTTTGGAATCTCACTTTGTCAGTAACAGCCTGCTTTTAGGTCGTGGGCATATGGAACCCATTGTAGTTTAAAGGTAAAGGTTCCCTTGCTTGAAAGCCAGTCGAGTCCGACTCTAGGGTTGCGGTACTCATCTCTGTTTCAAAGCCAAAGAGCCAGCACTGGCCGAAGACGTTTCCGTGGTCATGTGGCCGGCATGACTAAACACCAAGGCGCACGGCACGCTGTTACCTTCGCACCGAAGTGGTACCTATTTATCTACTTGCAATTTCTTGCTTTCGAACTGCTAGGTTGGCAGGAGCTGGAAGTAGAGACGGGAGCTCACTCTGTCATGCGGCAACCTGGGTCTCGAACTGCTGAACTACTAACCTTCCACAGCCTGCAGTTCAGCGTCTTAGCCACTTGAGCCACTGCAACTTTGTAGTTTAGAGCAATTCAAATGAGCAGCTTCGTCTGTGGGGTATCTCCTTTTGGAAACATGTGAGTGAATACTGACATGTTTCCAAGGTGGCTATTCCATTTTAATTGGGATGATATATTGCATTGTTAAAGTTTTGGTTTATAGATGTTGTAACACCATGAATTTTTAGGAATGGATGGGCTAGAGTTATGCACAGTAATCCTAAACAGAAGGTGTTGTAACACCATGAATTTTTAGGAATGGTTGGGCTAGAGTTATGCACAGTAATACTAAACAGAAGGTGTCAGAAGTAAGTCCCATTTTATTCAGTGTTCCTGGGATTGCAGCCCTAATGTAGTAATGGGCGTAGTTTATCAGAGGCTGAAACTGCTAACCTTTGTACACTTAACTTGGGAGGAAGCTGTTTGTGCACTTACGGCAAACTCATTGATTTCATCTTTTCCAGTCCCAATTTCAACATCATTAACAAGGAACAAGGCCTTTGTCCTGTGGCTCTGAATCATTATGGCTCCACCATTTCTTTGTTCTGGCAAAATGGAAGTTAATTGTGGTGATGTTATCACCATGAGCCCAGTTGCAACTCAACAGCGTGTTGTTCTGGGGTTTGGTCAAGTTGCTTTAAAGAAGCTGTTGTGAAATCACAGATGAGAAATACATTTCAGGGAAGAAACTGGTATTTTATTTTAGGCAATAAAGTATTCATTGGTTGGTTTTATGGTCAAACTGACTGGGCATTGCTTTGAGTATGATATAAACTGGCATTTGGTTTATGGATTAGTGACGGTCCAATCTGCAACTGAATTGAGATTGGGTCACAAGATTCAACCAAGAGAAGCAGTTGCACTTGCAGCTCAATTCCTGTGGTGAGATCTGTGACACACGCCCCGCCCCCCAAGAGCTGCCTTGCAGTGAGGGAGATCTGTGAGTTGCATTTCCCATGTTACCTCTGCTTCCACACTCAGTACTACTTTGGTACATGTGAATTGGGCTGGCATGACTGGCGTAGTTTCTTTTTCCTCCTTCCTTTTCTTGTTTGTCCTCAAAAAAAGCTTGGAAGTCACCATTGTGACAGCAGCTGTTTTTCTCAGATGAGAGTAGGATTGTTCCCAAAGTCACAAGGTTTTTATTTGTATGTTGTAAACCCGTAGAGAACTGATAAAAGCACTTGGAACAAAAGCTAGCCCGTAAAGAACACCCTTTTGGTAACAAGGGCAAATTTCTCCTTTGTTTGCCAGTGAAATATCGGAGCTGGCTTCCTAGAGGAATGTGAAATTTGAACGTGAAGATAGCTGGCACAAAGTTAGTTAGAAGGCCATTTGGAGGTTTCTGAACATTTCTGCCATGATAAAGGCCTGGTCCTTCAGGCATAAAAGCATTTAAAGATACTTCTTTTAGAAAGGGTATAAAAGCTATGCACAACAGAATAAGGAAAGGGACATTTTGTCCTATTTTGTCCATTAGTACATCATTTATTTTGTTCTTGTAAATTTACAACCAAGTAACACTGCAGTTGAATTATCCCCTAGTTCCACTAATCCATGTCATTCTGTCTTTGGTACTTCATTACTTACCCACTGTCAGATTGATAATCTGTGTTATTCTTTTCCTGGGATAGATATTTGAGAAGGGACGGATATGGCCTGCGTGTAAATTCAGCTATGGGCAATGTCTCCTTACCTTTGATGGATGAACAGTTCTGCACAGTCAGCTGAATGCAGGATTACTTTCTGGTTTGACTGGTAGTATAGGGTTGCAACTTCCCTGTGTGTTGTTAGGTTAGCTGATCAAGGAAGAAACTGCTCATTTGGCTGGCATGCAATGTTTGTAGCCATTCGCAATCTAGTAACTGCACGTGGCATTTCATGTTCAGGATAACAAGAAGAATTTCTGTGGCTCCTTTTTGTTATACTACAGAAACTAACTTGCTGGAATTAGTGGGGGTGGGGACAGCTTTGCATTTTATTGTTAATAAAGAGCTTTTACAGAAAAGTGGGGTATCCCGTAAAGCGTTCAAGGTGATACACTTGTCCCAACCTGTTTTAAGGTGTGCTGGTTTGCTTGGAAGCATACCCTGTGGGTGTAACTGAGCTTTGAACAGCACACTATGAGCTGTCACGTGGGAGACTTGGGAGTTGCCTGGCAATGAACCTGAGAGTGTAGGCATGTTGAGGCCATGGAAATTGCCTACATGATGCAACCAGTTATTAATGCACTGGATGGCAGCCGCATTGTTGTATTTACCCATCTTGTTCCAGTCATACCCTGGAGTTGGTAATTGGATAGATACGCACATACTCCAGAAGTACACACACTACTTTTTTAAAAATGACAAACGGTTTTATAGACGATGAGATCATCTAAAGTAAGCTGTCAGCATAAAAGCCGTAATTTGATCTTTGTTCCAGTCATACCCTGGAGTTGGTAATTGGATAGATACGCACATACTCCAGAAGTACACACACTACTTTTTTAAAAATGAGAAACGGTTTTATAGATGATGAGATCATCTAAAGTAAGCTGTCAGCATAAAAGCCGTAATTTGATCTGTGAGGAGTAAAAGTGGAGCAAGAGCACTAAAAAATATTCCCACACAGAAATGCTGCTGCCGTACTGCTTAGAATATATTTTATTAAATTCTGTTCAAGACTGCAGTAATCTTCTTTCTCCAATAAATGTCTGGGTCGTTATAGTGGCCTCTGTTGCTAAAATAATACTGGACTTGCAGCTGATAATCAAAAGCATATAATTTGACAAAGATGCAGTTATGCATGTGGAAAAAAATCCTCTACACTGCAGTCCAATGCAAACTTATACCCTTCTAAGCCCATTGACTTTGATGGATTTTGAAGATTTCAGGATTGCACTGTTAGATCATTAACTAGTACACGGTTTGTTATTAGCAAAGAAGGGTAGTATATCTATATTTCAAAAATATTTTCTGACTCAAAGATTTCTGTTCCTTGCCTGCCCCTCTCACCACAGCCCAAAATGCTGTTCCCTGTAGATGGGTATCCCCAGGAACAGCTTGCGTGGGAGTTCCACGTGTGCTACAAGAGGGGGCAATCAGCAGAAATTGTTCCATACCATCAG